AATTTCCCTGACTTTCAGTTTCTTATACTTAAAATGAGGGGCTGGGGTAAGATGGTCCCTAAGGCCCTTTCCATTATTGTAATTGTGCAATTCTTGGAGCTTTGCCCAGAATAGTAAACAGTAGCTGAAGAAATTCATGAGCTTGAGAATCAGATAGAACCAGATTGTAATGAGTATTCCAGTTCTGATGCCAGTTCCAGTGTGAATCAGCCACTGTGGCTGCACCCTTAGCTGCTCTGAGTCTCTTGCTCCTGAAAACTGAAAACCCTACAGGGCTGTGAGTCTGCTTGTATGTGAAAATGCCCAACTCTGTGCCTGGCACAGTGTAGATGCAGGATAAAAATTGATTTCCTCCCTCCCTTCCTTTCTTCCTTCTTCCTCCTTTTGTTACCAAAAAGAGAGTATTAGTCTGACTCCCCAACTAGTGCTGGGGTGAAACCTTCTTTGCAGACCCTTCCTTGGTGCCCCAAAGCAGCTATGTTACCAGAGAACTGCCCTCCACCAGCTATGTGCAGTTTTACCTCAAAGCACAAGCCCTCCTGGCTTTGAGGGAAGCACAAGTGGCAGCAGGTCTGTAGTTGCTCTTCCATCTGGACCCAACCCCACTCCAAACGCTGCACCCAGGAACTGTGTGTAAAGTGGTGAGAAGCCACCCCATCTTCCCTGCACAAATGAGCAACAAACACATTTGCTCATTATCTTTAAGGGACATAATGAATCAGACTGAGATTTAGTCATATTTACACAGTGCTGTACCTTTGCAATGCCAAGAGCTTAAGCCAAGGCTCCCTGATGGTTAAAATTACACTATTCAAACTCAAAGACAACATAGAGCTCTGTAAGCTAGTTCCTGCCACCCTGACCCCAATCACTGAGTTTATCAAGATTCTCAGCAGGAAGAGACAAGAGTAGTCCTCTCTCCTGCACTGAATACTAGAATGGTACTCTCTCCTAGAAGCTATTGCCCCCACCCCTCTCCTGCAGATCTCAGCTACAGAGAAAATGAAGAAGAATAAGGTTGGGATCCCCTGGCTTATAAAATTTGAATGTCACTTGGACTTGACATGACGTTTGTTTTTGAGCTCGAAATTGCACAACTTTTCAAGATCAAGGTGTTCTGTAGATCCTATTCCAGCATTGTGCAATGATTTTAAACTTAGGAATTTGTTTTGGGGAGAAATAGAGATATAATCCAATCAGTCCTTGAGGAGATACCATTTAGAGACCTTACACTTTCCTAAGAGAGAAGTCTGAAACTGTAAATATGCATGAATATACATAAATATTAATTGAGTTGGTACAGAGTTCTTCATTTATGCCTTACATGTGAAGGCACATACTAGCTGAAGTTTGGTTGTTACCTTCCCTCCATTTAAAAAAGATCCAGGAGTTCTTGCAGGTTTGCAGGCACTTGGAGATCCATTTCACTTCCATTCTCCTGCTGGCCTAGTTCAGCAAAACAGACAAGGAAGCAAGCTGGGTATGCAGATGGGTACCTTGTAGATAGAGTAATTTTTAAGGAAGCTGTTATTAAATGCCTACTGTGTGTTAAGCACAATGCAGGGCAGGATGATAGAAGATGAATGAGACCATTTCTGACCTCTTGTTGACAGAAAGCTGCTTCTAATTTACGATCTATGACTACTCCACATGCAGCAAATTGTTTTTATGTCCCATTGAATCCATCATATCTCTGCAAGGTCAAAATTGAGGCTTTAAGTTCCCAAGATGCCATCTAGATATAGAAAAAAGTAAAAACAAGCAAGAAAAGGAACAAAACAACCACAATGCTGACCCTGAAGAGCAGTCACCTCTGAAATGGAATACTTGAGATGGTCTTTGATTTAAAACTGGTCTTCGCTCCTTTAAGCAGCTTCCATGGTTGTGGCTATCTCTGCAAAATGGATGATTGATCACCAATGGAAACTTAATTACCAATTAATCGGTTACTATTGAATTGCTGGTATGTTTTAGTTATCTGCTACTCCTCAGAGCAATCCATAGTACTTCAGTGAAGAAAAGCTTCTAATTAAATAGTGAAATAGCACTCATTAATATATCAAAATAAATGTCTAGAACCAGAACATTTCATTAATTACAAGAGTCAGTAGGTTTAGCATCTCTGAGACTCTTTGTTAATTTATTGCCACTGAATGAGGAAATATTTGTTACTATATAAAACAGCATTGTAGATTATTTTTTACCATAAAAGGCAATAGATGTAAGAACTCTGTATTCCATGTGACAGAATTTTGACATTAAGGAGTAAGGCTGTTTTACATAAAGATAAGTAAATTTTCTATTTCACTTTGTTGTTCAACACTAAGTTAGTCTGAAATATACTATGGCAGCTTTCTGATTATTATAAATACAATAGGATGATAATAGAATTCCTAATCTTCAAATCATTTTCCTTAACTTGAAACTACATACAAAAATATGTAAAAATAAACTTTTTATCTTTTTCTTCCAAGTTAGAAGACAGTTCCTTATTATGTCCTCCTGCCCCCTGTTATCTCCCCCAAATTTACCAATTCCCAGATGTCTTATAAGTATAGTCAGAAGCTAAGCACTCTATTTGTTTCTTATAAACTCTTAACTACACCTACTCCTGGAAGAAGAAAAAAATAGCTTTAGTAATATTTATTTTTTTTAAGATTTTATTTATTTGACAGAGAGAGACATAGCGAGAGAGGGAACACAAGCAGGGGGAGCGGGAGGGGAGAAGCAGGCTTCCCGCTGAGCAGGGAGCCCGATGCGGGGCTCAATCCCAGGACCCCGGGATCATGACCTGAGCTGAAGTCAGACGCTTAACGACTGAGCCACCCAGGCGCCCCTAGCTTTAGTAATATTAGTTTATATCTCCACACTCACCCCCCATCTACTCATAATTGATTCACTTACTTACTCACTCAGTTAATATTTATTAAAGATCTATGGGTGATATTTCACCTACTACTAACAACACAGCAGTAAACAAGTATGGTCTCTGATGGCAGGGACATCAATCATGTAATCCACAAGCAAATAGTAGCTGCAGCTATGAGTGCTATGACACATAGGTAAAATGTATTATGACAGTCGATAATAGAAGCATTTGACTTAAATATTAAGATCAGAATAGGCTTCCTCAGGAAATGACAACACACTATGATCTGAAGGAGACATAGCAGTCAATAAGGTGAATGAAGGTGGAAGGATCACTCCAGGAACATGTGCAAAGGCCCTGTAATGGGAGGACACATGGCATATTTGGAGAACTGAGGGAAAACCAGCTCACTGGAGTGCAAAGGAGAGCACAATGAGGATGAATTTGGAAAGTTCAATAGGATCCAGATGACGCAGAGCTCACCAGGCCATGTTAAAAATTTTTGTCTTTTATCCTGAGAGCAATAGGAAGACATTAAGTGTTTTAAAGAGAGTGACATGATGAGATTTGTGTTTTAGAAAAAAATCTGTCTGCAGTGTAGAGAATGGATGAGATCAGATATGGCAGGTCTTACTTGGAAACCATTGTAGTAGTTCAGGAATGGGAAGGGGTGGGTTGGATGAGGGTCAAAGTATGGAGATAGAGAAAACTGGATGGATCCAGGAGATATTTAGAAAGTGCAATTGATGAAAATTGGTGATGGACTATACATGGGAAGGAATCAGGGATGGCACCTAGATTTATGACCTGTGCATCTAGAGAAATGGTAGAGCCATTCACTGGGGGTGTGTTGTATCATCAGCTCAGGCATGGGGGAAGATTGTGGTTTCTGCTTTGGTCACGCTGAGCCTGAGGTCTTGGAGACATCTGAGTGTGTTTTTTACGGGCAATTTGATATATGCACAGTCAGCTCAGAGGAGAGGGTAGGGTGGAGGTACAAATGCGTGTGTCAACTAAATAGTAATAGACATCACAGGAGAGACTAAGGTTGCGTAGGGAGAGTGTGAAGAGTGAGGAGAGGAGCAGCCCTAGGATGGAGCCTTGAGAAACCCTGACACTGATAGGCAGGCACAGATGGTCCTGCACCAGGACTAAATGTTGCAATCTGAGAAGTAGAAGGAAAACCAGGACACTGAGGTGTCAAGGTGAAGGGACGGATCCACAGTGCTTAACTGACATGTATTACTGAACAATATTTTTAAAAATCTGAAGCTGAATCTGTAAGATAAATACCTGATTGAGTGGTAATTGCCTTTTTTGTAAGTTGGTAACTGTGGCATGTGGTGCCCAGCTTTTATATTTTTTTTGAGCCTTTCCCCATAATGATGACAAATACTTCAGTGGTATTATCTAGGTGCTGAGTTCTGTGGTAAGAGATTTCTATAAATTAGCTCATTTAACCTTTACAACAGCTCTGTAAGGTAGGCACATCTCTACAATTCTCTCGATTTTACTTGTGAAATGGATAACCTGAATTTCACAAATACATAGAGAGTATGGGGACTATGTAAGGTAAATAAGCACGAGAGACTAGGATTTGATGCAGGAACTTGAGTCTGGGGTCTGTGTTCTGCGGACTCCCTGTGAATTATCTATCAGCTACCACCCCCTACCGCCTCACTGCACACAAATGCACAAAGGCACACATTTTCAAATATCTAATGTATTATGTATGACTCTAACATTTATTATTATTCCAGTTGAAATCCATCTTACTGGACTTGCCTGCTAGAAGCATTACCTTTATGCCCAGGGCTGAGACATTTATAGTTTTGTTTTTCTTTTACCGGCACCACCTAGTTCCATTTTTATGTATGCACATATTCAACCATAGTGCAAACTGCGGTAGGAAGGTTTACCCCAGTTAACATCTATATACATGTGGAGCACCTAGTGGTACTGGAGCCATGTAGATCACTAGAGTAATCTCTGCCTGTCTGGGGCTCTCTGTTTTTTGTATGGTGATCCTTTCCATTCTCCTCCGAGCTCTGAAAAGACATCCCGAGAAGTTTTTTTACCAGCCTGTTCGCGTCTGGACTCACATTCATTCTATGACCATATTTTATTTCAGACACTTTTGAGAAATTCATCAGGCTGTGAAGTACGCAGTGATGAATATCGAACAGAGTTTACCACAGCTTTGCAGCGTGTTGACTTATTCATGGGCCAATTCAACCAAGTCCTCTTAACATCTATATCTACCTTCATTAAAGGAGACCTCACCATTGCTAATCTTGGGACGTCAGAGGGTCGCTTCATGCAGGTAAATGCTTTCTAAGAGTGGCTCTGTCTGTTTTACCTGGTTTGGTGCAATTAGTTTTTTGTTTTATTTTGTTTTTATAGTAAGGTATTTGCAAATATTATAAAGCGAAAATCACAGTAAAAGCTAGAGACAGACTGAAAGCAAAACAATGAAGCCTGGTCCATTCTTTATGAAGCGTATGGCCTATTTTTGTTAAATTCTGGAAACTTTCAGTTTAAATGTAGTTGCTTTAATTTTCTTGCCCAGAATGGTTTGGGATTTTGTTTGTTGTTGTTGTTGTTATTTTCCATTCATGATTTCTCTCACATGATTGGAATAAAATGAAACAATTGAAGCACTTCCAGGCGATGTTTTCCTATTTCATGGGAAGCTATGGATCAAAGGAGAGCTATTGTGTGAACCATGTGGTCTCCAAGAGAAGAAACATTCACATCATTGAGAAATATTGGCAGGAGTTAGGAAAGGACGTTATCATCAAGATCCCATTGTAACTCCAGCTCTCCTCATTCTGCAAAATGATGTGGTCAGACACAAAGAAGTTCAAACACTGGGGGAAAAATTCCAGATTTTATTAAGAAATGCTTTTAATAGATAGCAACATATTTCCATACAATAAAAATTCACATTTCAGACGCAGTTATCGTGTTTCCTAGATACAATAATTAGCACTTTGCAGAAATTAAAATGCTCTTGTGTTGAATCTCTTTGACTGCTTTAATAGTTACTGGGTAGTGCTTTCAACGTGAGTTCATCAGTAGGTTCTTGATTAATGCACAATGACCATGGCATCTATGGAAATGATGACTTTCTACAAATACTAGAAATTTCTTCTAAAGAGAGATTCTTATTTCATAATCGTCAGATCTAATTAACATCCTACTCAGACAGTGACTTCTAGTAAACCAGTTGAGGACAATGATGTTTTCCTCTGACTTGCCCATCTGTACATCCTCTATCTGTATTCTTTTACGAAATATATTTTTTAAAATTACCACTGTCTTTGTAGTGTATGGATATTGGTCATTGCCATATTTTAAATCATGTTTTTCTTTAACTAGTTGGGCATGTGGGATTTTTTTCAAACCATAAAACATGTAAATAAAGCCTTCCAAGCTCAAAACTAATCATACAGATCCTGTTATCTAAATGCTTCCACACTTGGTCTCCCCTCCTCCCATTGCTTCAAATTATTACACTTTCTCCCCACTCCTCCCTCTCTCCCAGCCCAGTGTTCTTATTTACCCACCTCAAACCATTTCATTCTGTCCTTAACTCCTTAAAATCTGAAAACTGGATGGCCAGTCCCCTCCTACACACACAAGCACTCTAAAGTATTTGAAATATCGTCGTATCTATTATCCTTGTAAAATATGTAGTGTTATTTTAAATATGTGTTTTTAATTGACATTGATACTATTTTATAGAATTCCAAAAAATTTGAAGGAGCATGAGAGAATCTGGCATCTGTTGAATTCTTAATGTGTTCACTATGTTGACTTTTTATCTTTACTTTTGCTTTCCTTCTTTTCTAAATTGTTTATTACCTCATCCATCCAGTTTCATATTAATAAGCTTTCTATAGTCACTTTAGGTCTTACATTCTTTTACATCAAAAGGTTCTTGGCCTATTTCCAGATTCTAAAGTTGTAATAAAATCCCATTTTTAGATAGATTGCTCTAATACCTGAGTAAATTCTGCTGTGAGACAGATGCCACCACCTAAGTGATGTGTCGTGCATCAGTCTCATTGTAACAGAAATGCTGTGACAAGTGTTTTATTCTTGTCTCCCAGCATTTACATAAAAGAAGCTATATTATGCCCATTATCTGTGCATCCAAAACATTAAAGATGAAAATAAGTAGATACTTATTTTATGTGAAGATCTGATATCACTGATTTTTTTTAAACCACATGGTTCTTAATTCATCAGATATATATTGGGAACTTACTAACCTTGCTCTACTAGGCAAATAAGTAAAGCAAAGGAAACAGTGACACAGAACCTGCCTTTGAGGAACTAAAATTTTATTTTTTAAAAAAAGATTTTATTTATTTATTTGAGAGAGAGTGAGAGAGAGCACAAGCCAGGGGAGGGACAGAGGAAGAGACTGCCTGCTGAGCAGGGAGCCTAATGTGGGACTTGATCCCAGGACCCCAGGATCATAATCGAGCTGAAGGCAGACACTTAACCACTGAGCTACCCAGGCGTCCCTGAAATTTTAGTATGGGAGATAAAAACATGTACCTGATATCAAGACAGCAAAACACAAAGACATACAGACAAAGGGCTATTGAGACCCACATAGGATCCATTTCTCTGACACTTGTCCAAGAGAATTCCATTCCCTTAAATTTTATGTAAATAAACCCAAGGCACTGAAGGATCAAACAATCAACATCACTGAAATCCAGTTTGTTTACAGCAAATAATGTTGGGGGAGGAGTCAGTCAGGCGTGCAGCAAAGACCTTCTAGCTGAAGCTCGCCAAGCAGTACTAGCAAGTTCTATAAATGTTTTGACTGCTGTAAAGTGCTAAATCTGTGGCCAGGCCTAAGTTCCTGGAACTCCTGTTTTAATAATACTGTGGAGTTTCTGTTATAAACTGGAATGGACATAATTTTTTTCCAAAGACAGCTGCCATGCATGAAAAGGAACAGAAAAATGATTTTTACTTCCTTCCTACCCTGAAGCCTAAAGTCAAAGTTGCTTTGCAAATGTTTTCTCTCAAGAGTTTGCAGCTGTTTCTGCCTTTCCTATTGTGCTTATGTCCAGCTCTGACTGGGAATACAAGCTTCAGCCCCAGCTGTCGGGTGTAAAGGGAATCAGGTATTTCACAGTGGTTATTTGGTTAGAAAGAATTATATTGTTTAGCTAACAATATTATATGTATGGCAGAGAAGACACGTTTGACATGTTCCTAACATTTAAACATGTGTAACTTATCTCATACAGGTGCAACTCCGTCTAAATATACTGATGTGTACATGTATTAGAGTTTATCAACATAGATACAGATTTCAAAACCAGTTTTTATTTGTGTGATCACTCTCTTGGGATGCTTTGAAGTAAAATAATATGATAAGTCCTATTCAGGATAGTAAAAGTAAACAGTGAGAACAGGGCTTCTTACAAATTTTAGAGGGGGAGGGGATGTTGAAAAGAACAAGGCTCGGGAACATTAGTGCTGTGTGCAGGGCTATGTGGGTGAGGGAAGATGGTTACTCATGAAGATCACAGGACTAATCACAGGGATTGCCCACGTCTCCCCTTCTGAGCTCCTCATCTAATCAACTTGCAAAAACAGTGCTTGATAGAGATATATATATATATATATATATATTTTTTTTTTTACAGCTCTCTTATAAGGCCTTTAATCTCTAGATGCAAGGCATTGCTATTAAAATATTTGTGCATGACTGTCAGGCCAGGGAGAATGAGTGTATCGGGTGGGTTGGGGGTGGGGAGGCACTTTCAAGACTTGTTTCAAGTTCAGCTCCCACAAACACTCATTGGGCAGCTACCTTGTCTGCATACAGTGCCCTGGCAGTGGGCACTGTCACAGCTGTCACTTGGTTCTTTGGCATCATCCTTGCTCTTCTCCCACCCCCTTTCCCATCTTCCCAATTCCTTGATGCTGTTAGCACTCATTACCCCTGTTCTCTTGTGCCTCTTAACCGGACTAGTTGGATCATAAGCAAGAAAGTTAAGGACATAGGGATCACCTAAGAAGTATCCTTTGCTTGTGATCATTACTTACGACCATTACGTAAAGGATTATGTTAGTAATCAGTGAACCTGAGGATAATTACTCACTTCCAGTAAGAAGAATCAATTCATCTATTGACCTCCTGTCTTCAAATTCTTTCAGTTCCTGTGCCACCATCATGGTATGTTAGATCTTTGTGTTAGAAGCCTGTGGCATACATTGCCTTTGGGATTACTGCTATTTTAGAGAATGTAGACACAGATCATCAATTCATCAATGCTGTGAGCATCCAGCAGAGACCCAGGCAAAGCTTAAAATTAAACATTTCTCTTTAGGGATTGCTAATTTACTGTTCTCCTTTATAAAATCCTCAGATAAAAATATCATCTGCCTTTCTTTTTTTATGTGTACATTATTGATTTAGTTACATCCCTAAAGAATGGTGGATTTGGTATATTCCTTTGGAAGAAAATCTGGGGCACCTGGGTGGTTCAGTCAGTTAAGCGTTGGACTCTTGATTTGGGCTCAGGTCATGATCTCAGGGTCCTGTAATTGAGCCCCATGTTGGGTTCCACACTCAGCGGGGAGTCTGCTTGAGATTCTTTCCCTCTCCCTCTGCCCCTCCCCCTGCTCATGCGCATGCATGCACTCTTGCACACTCTCTCTCTTTCTCTCTCTCTCTAAAATAAATAAATCTTCTAAAAAGTGTTTTAAAAATAGAAGAAAATATATTCATGAATTCTGAGACTTGTTTTGTTTGAAAAAGAAACCATTAAAAATAATAATTTCAGAGCTCTATCTATAACTAAAAATCAACCCCAGTGCATGTAGTCTCCTAAAATGAATTCATGCATGCTTTTGAAATACATATATCTTATACACTGTTATATGCATAGAAAATTAAAACATCATAAATATTTGAAACCATGGGAAAATGCTAAGCTTTTGTTTGTTTTGTTGGTAATAGGGAATAACTGGGATTTCTTGTTTGGGTGCTTTTTTGAAAGAGTAGAGAGACATTTTAAAAACATGAAGTATATGTGTCAGTAGTTTTTTTTTTTACACATGTTTCACTTTTAAAATTCAAAAACAGATATACTCTGTGTATAAATTGGCAGATCCTACAATTATTGTATTTGGAGTATTGATTTGAAAGTATTGATATTTAAATTTTTTTTAATTTACTAGTTTATTTGGATTTTTGATGCTTGATATTTTTTTACAAAGGTCTCAATCTGGTTTTGACTCATTTCGACTCACAATCATTTCAAAAAGTTAAAACACACACGCACA